ATAACATTTTTTCTCCACTTACTTTACTGTAAGAATACAGTATATAATATTTATATTTATAACACAGAAAATATGTTTCAATCGACTGTTTATGTTATTGGTAAGGCTTCTGGTCAAAGGCAGGCTATTAGTATAGTCAGCTCTCCCCATTTGTGGATTCCCAACCACAAACTGAAAATACTGTTTTGGATCTATGGTTGATGGATGCGAAACCCACGGATGCAAAACCCACAGATAGTTAAGTTTTGGGGGAATCAAAAGTTATATGAGGATTTTCAACTGCATGGGGGTCAGCTCCACTAACCCCCATGTTGTGCAAGGGTCAACTGTACACATATGCATACATATACATATATAAATGAATATATTCTGAGAAGTCCACTGAGGAACAAAAATATATTAAAAGAACTTATAAAGTTCATTGCGAAAATAAATTTAAGATGGAAAAGATGACCATCTCAATTTTTCTTAATAAGTACTATGTTTTAACCTAAGAATAATTCAAAAGAGAAACAAATTTCTCTTCATGTAAGTTATCCTGTTCTGTTTCAATGAAATACCTTCTGCTCAGGGCTGGCCGAGTGGCTCAGTTGGTTAAGAGCTCGCTCAAGAGTTTGAGCTCTGAGCAACAGCAGTTCGATGCCCGGCCAGAGCTGAGCTGCCACTAGGTAGCAGGATGGCTCAGCTAAAAAAAAAATCAAACGAAATACCTTCTCCTCATCACAAATCCCTTCCCAAACCAGAATTTCAGAACATTAAACGTTATCATACACCATGTAATAATTTTTAAGCTAGGGGCAAAATCTAAAATGTGTTAAGATTACAAGATTTTCATTGTCTTGCTTTTTAAAAAAAGTTAAACATGGAAATAATTTCACTGGTTAATATTTAACATGGGTAAAGACCATTCCATCTTCATTCAGAATATATTCCCATAAAGACTCAATCTCTAGGGTGTTTTCTCCATTCCAAAAATTTACTGCAGCATTAACTCTGTGATAGAGACATTTTGACTTTCAAATTCCACTGTGTAGTTTTCAGCTGTCAGTAGAGGAAGTTTTTTTAATTTACAGAGGTAGAAACATTAATAAACATGCACACAAATTTTATTTTTGAAGAGATCAAAATAAAATTCCCAATCCTGCCTTTGATAATCAGATGGTCATTTTCAGGGCACTAGGAGTGGCTCCTCATTTAATATCATCTATAAATTGCAAAGACGGAGGCAGAATATTACAAATGGCTCCAGAAATTAGCAAATACCTGCTATAGGAAGGGTTTGCAAATACAAAAGGAAAAAAACAACAACCCTCTTCTAGTCTTTGATCTTTCATCATCTTTTATTTCTTCTTCCAAAAAATGAGCAATTTCAAAAACATACAATTTAAATGTACATTTTTAATCTTAAAAAACATTCTTAGTATTTGGAAGTTCCCTAACTTTTACAGATGTGTAAATGTTTACTTTAAAAACCCATTTTTACACTCTGAAAATACATCATTTTCATTTTCCTAATAAATGTACTTTATAAAAGAAAACAGCCTTAATTAAGTATTACAAAAATGACAGCAGCTCCAAACAGCTATAATCCCCATCTTACTTTCAATATCTTTTGCCTGGCTGTTTGAAACAACTAAAAGAAAATTTTTTGTTATTTTTAAAGTGTTTCTCTTCCAGACCAAGGGTAGAAAACAAGTATACCAATTGTGTAGGCCCCATATTCCCTCTGATGATCCTTCACTTTCATTAACCAGGTGTTTCTTAAAAGACTAGAAAGTAAATACTAAATTAAGCATAAAATGAACTTGACACATTTAAGGACTACAGTCTTACAGGTTTAAGTTTCAGCTGAGTGCAGGTGAATTCTCATCATGACAAATTATGAGGTGCAAATTATTTTGAGTACATGAATTTGTTTCAAATAGTGCTAAAATATCCTTAGTAACCTGTTAGCTACACAGATTACAATTACAAGGGTACGTTAGGCCCTACTATAAATTATTTTAACCTGTCTCATTTAGCAAAACTCTTTTTTTACACAATAAATGCACATCTTATTTGCAAATTAAATCATACTTAAGTGACTATTGTTTTTAAATCAATAGTTATGTGATTTACATACCAATGTCCACCTAATTGCTGATGTGTAGACTTAATTTTCTTTATGCTTTGGGGAATTAATGTCAGAAGTTAAAAATGCACTATAGAAAAATTCAGAAACGTAAAATAACAAAAAAGCAAAATCTAATTAATAATCAGCTTAGTTAGAAAGTCCAAATAGTTTCAGAATTATAAAATATATATTTTAACTGTTCAGCATTAAATAATTACAGAATTTCATGTGCCAAAATATATATAATATAGATTCTTCTTTAGGAATTGTGAAAATTATATTAAAGGCCTACAGTAGATATTGCTAACGTCAGGTATAACATGCATATTACTGTTAAATGAAGCAGTATTAATGTCTAACAGTGTCATGTGATTTAGCCTCAAATTTAATTGTTTTAAATATGTCTTTGTTTTGTGTGTGTGGCTTTATTCATTAAAAAATATTTGCCCACCCCAAACTCAAAAGGAGCCACACCTGAGGGTAAATGGCCTAAAAATACTCCCAAGGTTAATTGTGTAGATGTGAGAATTCAACTTATGCTTAATTTTGAAACTGAAATGTGGTTGATAATTTTATGATATGGTCTACCACAAATTAAAATGGATAAAAATTGGCAAATAAAATATCTAAAAACTGAATTTGCAAATGGGCTTTTAATTATAAAAGGCACTTTAATAGTTAAAGTTCCTAAAATATACTTTTGTGTAAATAAAACTATGAAATATAACTTCAATTTATGATGTGGATACAGTTAAGCATCATCATAGGAAAAAGATAATAAAATTTCTAATTACAAATAGTAGTTAAACTATATTTCTATACACTTTAAAGAGCAGTTATATAAATCATCCATAACAATGAGAGCTCCAGTCTTATAAGATTCCTTACAACTATTTATATAGAATAAAACCCACCCTACATGAAGACCAGCCACCATTCAACCAATCTACCCTCACTAAGGGTCAAAAAGCCAACTCAGCTTTTAATAGCAATAACTTCTGCAGCTATAGAAAGAGGATGTTCTTTCAACTCTAGACTGATTCCTTTAAGCTAAGAAACCTTTAGGAAACTAAAAATAACCCAAGATATCTATTCTTTCCCAATCCAAGAATAAACAGAAAAATGAAGATTTAGTTAGTTGCCTAATCCAATATTTTTTAAGTTTTTTATGTTGAACTGGTTAAAATTATGTTTTAAAATAAGACATTCAAGAGGTGGTGGTAAAAGAGGGTAAAGGGGGTCAAATATATGGTGATGGAAGAACTGACTCTGGGTTGTGAACACACAACGCAACATACAGATGATGTATTATAGAATTGTACACTTGAAACCTATATAATTTTACTAACCAATGCCACCCCAATAAATTTAATAAAAATTTAAAAATAAACAAAAAATAATAAGACATCCATCCCAAATTCCCAAAAACTTAAAAAAAAATTGAAAGATTCAAAAACATACTTGTTTTATTAAATGTTGGAAAGATGAAACACATAACATATAAGCCTGTTATTTTAGAGAAATAAAACATTTTATAAAGGCCATCTTTGAGTATTACTTTTTTTAATCCCAAAGAGTCACAACAAGCCTCTTGGTTAAAGAATTCAGCTTTAAATGTTGCTACTAATTATCTAGGTAAATAAGTAAAATTATCATTCAATGAAACACTAATATGGTGGCATAATTAATCAAAATTGTAACTTTGTTCTTAAGATGTTAAACTTACATCTACTATGTATAAATCATATCCAATACAAATATAAGATACATTAGAAAAAAATGAGTAAAGTCGCTTCTCACAAATGAATGTTAATAACCCTAATTTAAAATACATATATTTTATATTTAAAAAAATAATTATGATATATTATTTTGAAATGTATTTTTCTGTAGATGCCCTAAATTGGTCAGGGCCATAATAGCAGATTGCTAAATGGAAGTCAGGAAAGAGACAAACAGAAAATAAGTGAAAGTACGACAAGAAAAATTTCCCACAAGAATAATTTTTTAAGTCTATTCTTGAATTTTGATTCAAACAGCAAGAGGAAAATCTACATAATTCTCGAAAGTATTAATAAAAACCCTTGGGTTGGAGGGGGGGGCGCGGAACTCCACCGACCATTAAAAATAACCAAAATGTTGCCTTAACTTTTCCCTTGTCCACAATCTAACAAAATGGGAAGGCAATGAAAATAAACACTCCTATCTACCCTAAGAGAGGCAAAGAAAGCTCCCATTCAGTGCTAAGCCTTATTCCACTGGAAAACATACTCCTGAAAAGTAAATCCAAAACCACGAGCTCAAACTGCTTCATGCAGAATTTACTGAATGGCGGCCAAACGTTGTACACGCTGTCCTGAACCACACTGAAGGATATCTAGAGTTCTGCGTTCTCCATTTACAACTTGTACCTTACTATGCTTTCGCCACCACTGCAGAAACCGATTTTTTTTTAAATGAGGTTAAAATGTTCCTCCTGGCTCGTCAATCGAAAGAGGTCAATCTACACGCTGACCATCCCCCCCCCCACACACACACACACCAATTTTTCTTTTTTAATCAACACTGAGTTTGACTCCTCCAGTCGCCAGCACACCTTTTTAGACATCAGTAAGGGGGAAGGCGTTACAACGTCCCGGGAGCGAACGGAATGAATAAGGAGCCCTAAAACAACTTTTAACTGGCTTTCAGCTGGCACTAGAATAATCACCTGTTAGAATGGGCGCTGCGCTAGCACCCTCCAAGAGCGCCCGAGAGCGGGGATGCTGTTCCCAGTCACTTCTCCCAGGGCGGCAGGTGAAGGCGGTGAACGCGCATCCACACCCACCGCCCGGGGAGCGCAAACCTAAGCGAGGAGCGCAGCAGCCGGACACTCCGTTATCCTCACCCTCCACGGGCCCCCGCCAGGTGAGCGAAGCTCCATTGCGCCCTCGGCGTCCCGGCGCACGGCTCACCCCTGCTCGACTTCTCCGGCTGCCCGGGCCCGGAAAGGCGAAGTTTCTCTCCCGCCCGCGGCCGGGGCTGCTCACGCGCCGTCAGCTCTGGGCGGCTGCGGTCACCAGCGCCGGGCCTCGGGCGAGTCGGGGACCGCTGACAGGAGCCGAAGCCGGGACCTGTCAACCCCGGCGGGAAACAAAAGCCGGGTGAGGACGAGCAGGCGCGACCAGCCTCGCCTCCGCGAGGGGGAGCGCGGCGGGGAGGGGAGCGGCTCCAGTTGCCGCCCGGCTCCGCGCCTCCCGGAGGGAGCAACGGCCCCACGGCCCGGCGTGGCGCAAGGGGCCCCGCAGTGGGGCTGGGGGCCTTCGGCGCGCTGGCCTCAAGGCTTCTCTGGCCCCGCTCGCCCGGACACGCTGCTCCCCGGTCGGGGAGCCGCGTGAGGGGGCGGGGAGGTGGCACGGCGGCGGCCAGACCGCGAAAGAGGGGATTCGGCTCCCCGGGCGCCGCAGCTGCCCGCCCTATCCCTGCGGCCATGGCGCCGATACCTGTCGCAGCAGCTGCTTGTCGGTTCCGTCTCTCTCCGCCTCACCCGCGCCGCCACTCGCCCCTCAGCCCGCCCAGCAGGCCGCCCGCGCGCCGGACGCCGCAGCCCGAGACTGGCAGCGCCCGCGAGCCGGCCGAATCCCCGGGGCAGCGCCCGGCACAGTCCCGCCCCTGCCTGCCGCAGGACCCGCCTTCCATTGGGCTCTGGAGCTGTCAGTCCGCCCCCAAAAGGCGCGCGGGCTGTCGCTCTACTTGTTCGGATTGGTGGCCGCGCGCCGTCCATGCAAATAAGGCCCCGCCCCCGTCCATTTGCACCTCCGCCTTAGTGTAACCTCCGCCTCTTCACGCCAGCCCACGTGTCTGGCCCTAGCCCTTTGTGGGGGCGGGAGGGAAGGGTTGGAGGAAACTGACCGACGCCCACCCCCAACACACATACACCATCCCCTGTCTCCAGAGAAAGTAATGCCAGAACAAGCTAGTTGACTTCACATCCGAATAGTCTCTCTCTGAAAGCTCTGCCCTCCTATCTGTCCACCCGGCCTGCCGGGAGGATGGAGAGGGACAGGCCAGGCTGTTGTGTCAGATGAGCAGGCTAGGTTAGCCCCAGGAAGCAACCCCAGGAAGTCAATGTTGCCGAGTTGGGACTGGGAAAATCCCATCTCCAGAACCAATGTAGACATAGCACTTCCCTCTGACACTCAGTGACTGTGAAGACTACCTTTACCCATGGCTTTCTACCTTTCAAACATGAGGTCGCAGGCGACTGCGACAGCAAAGAACCTTAAGAAATGTTTGTGTTCTCTATCACCACCCCTCTCCCAAAGGGAGGCCTGCTGAGCAAACTCAGCTTCAAGAGGGGCCCAGGGCCCTCCAAGTAGGTGGCCACCCCTCAGTTGCTCCCATAGAGATTCCTGGGCCTTGGGGAATAACTAGATCAAACCCCTCGTTTTTTGAGGAGACAAAAACCTTGAGCCCCATAGCAATGAGTCTTCATAGTTACCTATGGAAACCTAATGTCTCATAGCCAGATTAGAAGTCACATCTCCTAGCTCCAAATCTGCTCTCTGCACTGTACCACGTTGGTCATTTAGATATTTACAAAGAAAGAGCCACTTCTACAAATCATCCCTGCCTTCAAGAGGTGGTGTCTGTAGGAAAGACGATTACAGCCAACACCGAAACCTCCTCAAGGGCAAGGGCCCTGTCTCAGTGCCCAGGAGCTTCCCTTTTTACCAGATGCCTGGGAAAGTCACTGAAACAATTTATTCGTACATTAATTCGGCAAGACAATGGTGATTAAAACTACACTGCATTCTATCACCAATAGATTAAGCATTCACTGTGCCTACTAACAGCAGGTTTTAAGTACTGTGCTATGTGCGGGGCATGCATAGACGAGAAAACATTGTTCGAGCCCTTGAGGGCTTCAGCCTACGACAAGACAGTGACATCCACAGTGCACATCAGTGCTCCTCATGTTACAGGGACTGTGACAGATATCTGCATAGGGCACAGTGGAAGGCTCCAAGGAGGGAGGAATCTGCTCTTCCTGGGAGAGGCAGGGGAGGTCTCATTGAAGAGGTGACCATAGAGCTGTGTCTTAAAAGATGGAGTCTTGAAAGATTGTGTTTGCCAGATGGAGGGATGTGGAAGAAGAAGAAAAGGGGTTCCCAGTGGGGCTGGGGTGGGTAGGGGGAGGTTAGCATGAACAAAAAGAATACAGACCTGGAAAAGCCTAGTAACTGAGGGAACAGCAAGGAACACTGTGGGCAAAACTGCAGGGCCGTGTAGCCATGTCCTAAGCTCTGGGACCAGGCTGTTTAGGAGGAAGACAGAAAGGCCCGGGAGGCTGCCAGGCTGTGTTGTAACACACCGCAGCAAACAACAGCAGGCCCTGTACGTACAGCTGCAGGCTTTTTTTTTTTTTTTCTAGGCCAGAGTCTGTGGGGAACAGTCAGTTCCACAGTTCCAATGGCAGCCTGGCCGGCCCCACCCACTCTCAGACAACCACTCCGGTCACTGCACTTGCCCTCCTCAGCATTTGGAAACACGTGTGCTTGCAATTTCCCTAAATATTGCTGCTGCTCTTCAGAATTCAAAAATAATGTGGGCTATGGCTGCAGACACCTGGGTGTGGGCTGAGCAGCCCTTTCCTAATGCACGGAGCAGTTCTTTGCAGGGCTTATCACCAAGGCTGGCATTGTGGGCATGTGACCTGTGCCTGGCTTAATGCTCTGTTGTTACCATCTTGAAATTCTTACTCATTTTTCAACAAGGGGCCCTACATTTTCATTTTGTGCTGGGACCTGCAAATTATGTAGCCAGTCCTACCTGTCACCGTTAGTGTCTTTGGGAAAGCTTGCAATACTGCTTAAACCACAGCTCAATTTTAAAGCACTTGGCATTCACTAGGTTTGTTCATATGTGCTGCATCACTTGATTTTCACAATGGCAATGTAGGGTAGGCCAGTATTACCAGTCCCATTCATTAGTTGAGAAAACTGAAGTTTGACAACCTTCTCCAGGTGGCACAGCTAGGAAGTAGCATAGCTTGTACTTGAACTCAGCCCACCCGAGTCCTATTCCATTGGCTACTTCCATGTTCGTTTCAGAATCCTTTCAAAGGCAGATTTGTACATGAAGGATATACTGTTTTAAGAGTCAGAACATGTGGTAGAGTGGATATCTGTCATTTCACTGCTGCCTGTCATCTTTTGAATAGTTTTTCATCAATTTAAAAAAATTTTCAGCCATTATATGTTTAAATACTGTTTCTGTACCTTTCCCTCTTTCCTTTTGGACCCCCAATTGAAACACACGTTAGACTTCTCACTACATCCCTTTCTTCTGTATTTTCTATCTTTTGTCCTTCCATGCTTTGTTCTAAAAGTTTCTTCTCACTATTTTTCAGTTCACTAATTCTCTCTTCAGCCTTTTAAAAAAAATTCTCTTAAACCCATTCATTAAACTTTTAAATTTGATTATTCTGTGTTTTTAGTTCTAGAATTTCTATTTTGTTCTTTTTCAGATCTGCTATGTCTCTTTTTATATCTCTTAGTGCCCTGCTATAATGTTCAAGCTTGGCTTTTTTTTCCATAAGCATGGTGAGAATAGTTGTTTTATGATCTGTGTCTGTTAATTCCAATCTGGCGTCCCGTGGGCTAGCTTCCATTGTCAGTTTTTTTGTTTGTTTGTTTGTTTTTTGTTTTTTTAATTTTTTTTTTTATTGGGGAACTGGGGGAATGGGAACAGCGCTGGGGAATTGGGGGAAGGGGAACAGACAAGTTGCTGTCGTTTTGTTCTTCAGTCTAGTTGTGGAGGACGTTGCTTCACTGGCCCAAGTTGGCACCATCATTGCGCTCTTCCCTGGCGAGGCAGATCAGTCGCCGGCTTCTGGACGGCCGCTCACTGCGGCTGCTGGCCACTCACGCTGGCTGCTGGCTACACATGGTAGCCCATGGCAACCCACTGCCACAGGGGCTGCAGCCTACGCCCTCGCCGGTGACTCACAGCAGCCCAGCTCCAGGTTGAGCTGTTGTTCAGCATCTTAGCTGTAGAGGGCAGTGTCACTGGCCCTCATATGTGGGATCCGAACCGGGGCCCTCTGGCATCCCAAGCCAGTTCTTAACCATCGCGCCACTCGGCCGGCCCCCATTGTCAGTTTTTACTACTGGTTCTTCCTCATCTTGTTGTATCTCCTCATGTACCTGGTTATGTTTTGGACATTGTATTAAAAAAAATCATTTGCAGCAACGATGATAATATCTTTCTCTGGAAAGGATTTTTATTTATTTCTGCAGGCATCTGGGGACACCAGTAAGCTAGGGTCACCTTAACCAATTTCAGGATATCTGATTTCTGAGTCTCCCAGGTGACTTGAAGCTATAGGAGGGTTTATTTATGGTCCCCACTTATTCAATGTTGCAGTCCTTTGAGGTCCCAGTCAGAGATGAGGAGTTATTGGGCCGGCCCAGTGGTTCAGTTGGTTAAGAGTTAGCTTCAGAGCGCGAGCTCTGAGCAACAGGACCACCGGTTCAATTCCCATGTGGGCCAGTGACGCTGCGCCCAACCTGAGCTGCCAACAGGCGGCAGGATGGCTTAGCTGGTGAGAGCACGTGCTCCTAACAACAAGACTGCCTGTTCGATGGTGGGCTACGCCTGCCGGCAACTAAGACTGAACTTGGCACCTTGAGCTGAGCTGCCACCCGGATGGCTTAGTGGATAGAGCATGCACTCTTAACAACAAGGCTGCTGGTTCTACTCCCGCATGGGATGGTGGCTACGCCCACCCGCAACTAAGATGTAACACAGAACCTTGAGCTTAGAGGCCACGAGCTGCCGACGGGCAGCCAGATGGCAACTGGCGCCTTCCACAACTAAGATTAAAGAACAACAATTTGACTGGCCCCACTCCCCAATTCCCCAACACTGTTCCCCTCCCACAATTTTCCAATTAAAAAATAATAATAACATAGGAGTTATTTTAGTTATATATTGTTCCATAGTAAACTACCTCAAAATTTAGCAATTTAAAACACATGTCAGCGGACTTTGTCTTAAAGGGACAGATGGTAAATATTCTAGGCTTATAGGCCATATGGTCTCTGTCACAACTATTCAACTCTCTTATTATAATACAAAGCAGCCATAGACAATACATAAATGAATGGCATGGCAGTGTTCCAATAAAACTTTATTTACAAAAACAGGCAGCCATCCTCAATTTGATAAAGGGCATCTACGAAAACCCAAAACAAATATCATACTTAAGGGTGAAAAACTGGACACTTTCCTCAGGAAATAAGGAATAAGACAAGGATGTCCACCCTTGCCACTTCTATTTAATATTGTGCTGGTGGTTCTAGCCAGGGCATTTAGGCTAGAAATAGAAATTAAAAGGCATCCAGATTGAAAAGAAAGAAGTAAAGCTATTTCTAGTCAAAGATAACGTGATCTTGTATATAGACAATTCTAAGGAATGCATACACTAAAAAACCATTACAACTAATAAACAAATTCAACAACAGTTGCAGGATACAAGAGCAATAACAAAAATCAACTGTATTTCTGTTCACTTTCGATGAACAATTCAAAAATGAAATTAAGAAAAAAATCATT